TTGAACTCCTGACCTCAGGTGATCTGCCGTCCTTGGCCTCCCAAAGTGCTGGGATTTGTAGGCATGGTCTACCATGCCTGGCCGATTTCAGAACTTTTTCATCGCCCCCAAAGGAGACCCTATATTCATTAAATATTTACTCTTTATTTCCTCCTCTCATTTCTGGCAACCACCGATTTGCTTTCTATGTGGATGTACCTATTCTGTATATTTCATATAAATGGAATCACACAATGTATGACCTTTTATGTCTGGCTTTTCTGACATAGCATAATTTTGAGGCTTAACCACTGGTCTTATGTATCAGAACCTCATTCCTCTCTCTCTCTTTTTTTTGAGACAAAATCTCACTCTGTTGACCAGGCTGGAGTGTAGTGGTGTGATTACAGCTCTCTGCAGCCTCAAACTCAAGTGAACCTCCCACCTCAGCTTCCCAAAGTGCTGGGATTACAGGCATAAAACACCATGCCTGACTGAGAACCACATTCCTCTTTATGACTAAATACTACTCCGTTGTTTGGATATAATACTCTGCCTGCAATGCCTTCCAAGTCATTTTAAAAAATCTGTTTATCGGCCGAGCACAGTGGCTTACACCTGTAATCTCAGCACTTTGGGAGGCTGAGGAGGGTGGATCACCTGAGGTCAGGAGTTTGAGATCAGCCTGGCCAACATGGTAAAACCCTACCTCTGTTAAAAATACAAAAATTAGCCAGGCATGGTGGCATGTGCCTGTAATCCCAGCTATTCGGGAAGCTGAGACAGGAGAATCACTTGAACCTGGGAGGCAGAGGTTGCAGTGAGCTAAGATGGCACCAACCTGGGAGACCGAGCAAGACTCTGCCTCAAAAAAGAAAAAAAAATTGTTTGTCTATTGATGGTTAGTTGTATCTTTTCCACCTTTGCCTATTGTGAATAAGGTTACTCTGAATATTCATGTATAGTATTTGTTTGAATACCTGTTTTGAGTTCTTTTGTGTCTATACCTAAAAGTGGAATTGCTGGGTCATATAGTAATTCTTTTTTTTTTTCCTCAAAAGCTGGTGTCATAGTGTACATATAGTAATTCTATGTTTAACTTTTTGACAAACCATCATACAGTTTTCCATAGCGGCTGTACCATTTTACATTCCTACCAGCAGCGTATGAGGATTTTGATTTCTCCACATCCTTGTCAACATTTGTTGTTGTTGTTGTTGTTTTTAATTTTAGCCATCCTGGTAGATGTGAAGTGGTATCTCATGCTTTTTATTTGCATTTCTCTAATGACTAGTGATGTTGAACATCTTTTCATGTGCTTGTTGGCCATTTGTATATCTTCTTGGAGAAATGTCTATTAAGTCCTTTGCCCATTTTCAAATTGGATTGTCTTTTTGTTGAATTATGACTATTGAATTTTAATTGCTATAAAACACTCCATGAGTACATGTAGCATGCACTCAATAACTATTAGCTAATACTATAGTTGTAATTATTTTTGCCACATGTGGCCTGAATTGGAAGGAAATTTTGCCTAGTTTTTCCAAGTAGGAGTGGAGAGGCAACAAAACCTATGTTTATGGTCAATAAAGATTTGACTCTATCAGTGTTGATACTTTGCTTTTAATTGATGCTCTCAAATCAATAAATTAGAAACATGTATACATAAAATCAGTTTATCTTTGGCAGAAATCAGTATATTATCAATGTTTAATTAATTCCTAAGAATTAATGGCAATAGTGACTCTAGTTTTAGCTGAAATTTAGATCATCTTTCTTCATTCTGCCCTGTTATGAGACATTTGCTATAATTGCCACAATGAGAATTTTTTGAAAACTGGGTCAGAGAAGCCTACTTTTTACATTTAATAGTATGCGATTTATGTATTATCATTGTTTTATGCTTATTGCATCTTGGTTTTATGGGGTGTTCAAAAGAAGATGGATGAGAATAGGCGATCCAAAGTAATTATTTAGAATTTTATCCTCCAGTCAGGATTGAACCATCTTGAACTGATGAATATATTCTTCCAGGTTTATAGGTAGACATGCCATTTCATTATATCATGATTTGGAGTCAGACAGTAGCTTTTAAGCAGAATAAACAGCCATATGTAAGTCTAAATTTGGTTATTTTCTTTGAATAAGCAGTGGAAACTGTATGCATTCAGAAACTGGTGATTATTCAGATATCTTCTGAAGGTCCTCTCTCCCTGTGCTCCGCAGCTTTGTCCTGAACTCTCCTGTCTCTTGCGGTGCCTCTGTGCCTTTACCTATTCTGTGAACTCTGCCTGCAGTGCCTTCCAAGTCAGTTGGTGACTCCTCAAACATCACTGAAGTCTTTCGGGTGGATGCAAATGCTGCTTTTAGCCATTAAAATGTGTTTCATACTTTCACAATAGTTCTTGTCCTAGTGTAGTTTTAAAAATGCACTTAAAAATTTTTAAAGCAGTGCATGCATGCAGTAAACAAAATTGGACAGTACAGAAATAAATGGTGAAGACAGTCTACCAGTTTTCTTCCCCATGGATAGCACTTTCCCTTTTGTATCCTTCGAAAAATATTTTGTGCTGATACAAGAATTTTTATACTGTATGAAGTGCTTATTCATCTTATCTTTCACTTCAGGGTAATTTATGAATAATGAAAAAATTCAAGCATTATAGAAATGTAGAGTGTGTGAAGCAAAAGTTCCCCTTTACCTTGATCCCTAACACTAGCCCTTTCCAAATAACACTGTCCTAATTAACATTACTCTCTCCAGAAGTAACCTCTGTTATAAGCCTTGTGCGTGCCTTCAGATTGTTCTGCTTACACTTACGCCTATTTAAAAGTGTATGTTTTCGTATTTTTTTTGTTTGTTTGAGAGTGTTTCGCTCTTGTTGCCCAGCTGGAGTGCAATGGCGCGATCTCAGCTCACCGCAACCTCCACTTCCCAGGTTCAAGCAATTCTCCTGCCTCACCCTCCCAAGTAGCTGGGATTACAGGCATGTGCCACCATGCTCAGCTAATTTTGTATTTTTAGTGGAGTCAGGGTTTCTCCATGTTGGTCAGGCTGGTCTGGAACTCCCGACCTCAGGTGATTTGCCTGCCTCAGCCTCTCAAAGTGCTAGGATTACAGGTGTGACCCACCACGCCAAGCCCATTCATTTCTTTAATAAAGTTTTACTGAGTGCCTACTATGAGCCAGGTACATAAGAGTAAACTAAGCATGAAAATTCTTGCCTGAATGCAGCTTATATTCTAGTGGAGAGGGCAGATATTAAGTGAAGGAGTGAACTGTTTAGTGTTTCACGGGGTAATAAATGGTATTTCCAAAAAAAAAAAAACAACAAACCACCCCACCAAAGGAGGGGGAGACTGTGTGAGCATGTAAGTATATAAATGTGTGTGTGTGTTTGTGTGTGTGATAGAGATGGAGAGAGATACAGATTCAGATGTAGTGAGGGAAGGCCTTGTTGAGAACTAATATTTGAGGAAAGATCTAAAAGTTGTCTGATTCTCTTTTCTTCCTCATACCTCACATCAAATATATCTCCAATTCCTGTTGATTTAATCTTCAAAATATATCTGCAGCCCACCCATCAAGTAGGTGGATTGAATTGGCAGTGGGAGTTTGTGAAGATTTTCTTCTGATTGTTTTAATATTCTCAGTGAATTAGGAAATAAAGTGCTCAGCCGAGAGTGAGGATGAGGAGGGTGATGGAGGTTTGTGTAAAGAGGAAAAGGTGTGAAATTGTTTAGGAGAATGGGAGAATGGCTGCAGTAGGGAAATATTTTGTATGATTGCCAGGGAGCATTGAGAGCCTCTTGAGGTTCGCAGTTACAATTTTGTTTTTTTGCTTTTTTTTTGAGACAGAGTCTTGCTCTGTCTCCCAGGCTGGAGTGCAGTGGTGCAATCTCACTGCAACCTCTGCCTCCCAGGTTCAAGTGATTCTTGTGCCTCAGCCTCCCAAGTAACTGGGATTGCAGGTGCATGCCATCATGCCTGGCTAATTTTTGTATTTTTTTTTTTTTTTTTTTAGTAGAGTCGGGGTTTCACCATGTTGGCCAGGCTGGTCTCAAACTCCTGACTGCAAGTGATCCGCCTGCCTCGGTCCTCCAAAGTGCTGGGATTACAGGTGTGAGCCACCATGCCCAGCCTGTGGTTATTTATTTATTCTGCTCTGTCTCCCAGACTGGAGTGCAGTGGCGCAATCTTGGCTCACTGCAACCTCCACCTCCTTGGTTCAAGCCATTCTCCTGCCTCAGCCTCCCAGTAGCTTGGATTACAGGCACGTGCCATCATGCCCAACTAATTTTTGTATTTTTAGTAGAGATGGGGTTTCACTGGGCCAGGCTGGTCTCAAACTCCTGACCTCAGGTGTTCTGCCTGCCTTGGCCTCCCAAAGTGCTGGGATTATAGGTGTGAGCTACCATGCCTGGCCTTTGTGGTTATAAATTTAAAGTGAGATCAGTCAGTATGGTTTATTTCCTCCAGCTGTATTCAGCTGCAGGGATGTAAATTTGGAGTGGATTTAACCAGGGAGGGGTTTTGCCAATATAGCCGAACAAAGCAGGAGAAGGGCAAGGGCAAGGGATAGAGGGTACCTGTGTATGCAAGGTAGTGGTATAACATACTGTGGAATTCAAACCAGGTAAGGAGGGGAGGACATGAAGTGGCTAAGAGATGGTGAAAAGATGGGAGAAGCAGTGGATGGAAGGTCCTGGTGGGATCAGAAGCTGCTGGAGTTTGGGTATGTGAGAGACTGAACCATGAAGATAGTGGGTCATTGTTGGACAGTGGGAGATAATTGATATTGTGAAAGCATGATCATGGGCTGAGGGGGTGAAGGACAAGATCAGTGGAGGTGAGAAATGTAAAGAACTGAGACAAGGAATTCAGAGAGAGAGGGTATGGAAAGATTATCTTTGTGAAATCACTGAGAGTTAAGATAGTAGTATAGAAAGTCACAGTAAGCCAGGTAATGCGTAATAGGATTTTCATAGGATATTCAATGTAATGTTTTGTGTTTTTTTAGGGAATAAGGAGGGAGACAGATTTGGAAACATCTGTGAGGAGCAAGGAGGACATTTACCTCACCCCCAGGTCCAGTGGTATGAGAGGTATGGGGAAGGTAACTTATACCACTTTAGGGCCTCAGAGGCCAGTGTGGCCCCAGAGGAGAACCAGCTTTTAATTAGAGCAAGAAGTTAAAGGGAATATTCAGAGAAGTTGCTGAAAATGTAGGGAACAGTAGAAGCAGAGAGGTGGGTGACACATGGAGACAGAGCTAGAGATATGCAGAACAGTGTGGGGATTAGAATGTGGGAGATGAGGCCGGGCGTGGTGGCTCATGCCTGTAATCCCAGCACTTTGGGAGGCTGAGGTGGGTGGATCGCCTGAGGTCAGGAGTTTGGGACCAGCCTGACCAACTTGGTGAAAACCCATCTCTACTAAAAATACAAAAATTGGCCAGGCGCGGTGATGTGCTCCTGTAATCCCAACTACTCAGGAGGCTGAAGCAGGAGAATCACTTCAACCTGGGAGGTTGAGGTTGCAGTGAGCTGAGACTGCGCCACTGCACACTCTAGCCTGGGCAACAGAACTAGACTGTGTCTCAAAAAAAAAAAATAATAATAATAATGTGGGAGATGAGAGATGTGGGAATCTGGGGCTTCTTTGATGGACAGCATAAGCAGAGATAAAGAACCTGAAGAGATTAGGCCTGGTGGAGAGCAGGCAGGCACTGGAGGTGAGGGTGGGAGTGTCGGGAGGGAGCAGGGGCGTTCTTACCTAGATCCCCTGCTGACACACCTGTTCATGATGGAGAGGAGTATCTCACTCCAGGTGTAAGCGGTTCTCTTTTTTTTTTTTTTTTTGAGACGGAGTCTCGCTCTGTCGCCCAGACTGGAGTGCAGTGGCCGGATCTCAGCTCACTGCAAGCTCCGCCTCCCGGGTTTATGCCATTCTCCTGCCTCAGCCTCCCGAGTAGCTGGGACTACAGGCGCCCACCACCTCGCCCGGCTAGTTTTTTTGTGTGTGTATTTTTTAGTAGAGACGGGGTTTCACCGGGTTAGCCAGGATGGTTTCGATCTCCTGACCTCATGATCCGCCCATCTCGGCCTCCCAAAGTGCTGGGATTATAGGCTTGAGCCACTGCGCCCGGCCAGTGGTTCTCTTTTGATAAATCCTGTGGGCTCTCTCTTTATGATCACATATTAATGCCTTTTGCTTTTAAGCATTTATTTTTTTTTTGAGGTAGGGTCTTGCTATATTATAACCCAGCCTGGCTTCAAACTTATGGGCTCAAGCAATCATCCTGCCTCAGCCTACTGGTAGCTGGAACTACAGTTGTGCACCACTGTGCCTGGCTTTTTCACTTTAAGTCTTTTTGTCTGTGTTACTAATATTAATGAATGAATACCAATAAGATTTTTTGTTTTTTTGTTTTTTTTTTGAGATGGGGTCTTGCTCATTGCCCAGGCTGGAGTGCAGTGGCGCGATCTTGGCTCATTGCAAGCTCCGCCTCCCGGGTTCATGCCATTCTCCTGTCAGCCTCCCGAGTAGCTGAGACTACAGGCGCCCGCCACCGCGCCCGGCTAAGTTTTTGTATTTTTAGCAGATACGGGGTTTCACCGTGTTAGCCAAGATGGTCTCGATCTCCTGACCTTGTGATCCGCCCGCCTCGGCCTCCCAAAGTGCAGGGATTACAGGCGTGAGCCACCGCGCCCGGCCAGATTTTTTGATTAACGTTTGTATAGCACATTTTTTTAAAACCATCTTTTAAATTGTCAGCCCTCTGACTTGGTAAGCTGTACATAGTTGTATTTCAAAAATCTGATTGTCTTGATAAATGTAATCTTTTCATATTTAATGTGATTACTGATAGTTTAGACTTATTTCTGCTGTTTTCATTTATACATGTTTTTTGAACCACACTTTTTTTTTTTTTTAATATATATTTTTTTCCCCTGACAGGGTCTCTCTCTGTCGCCCTGGCTGGAGTGCAGTGGTGCAATCATGGCTTACTGCAGCCTCAAACTCCTGGGCTCAATCTATCCTCCTGCCTCAGCCTTCTGAGCAATTGGGACTACAGGCATGTGCCACAATGCTGGACTAATTTTTGTATTCTTTGTAGATACGGGGTTTTGCCATGTTACTCAGGCTGGTCTTGAACTTCTGGCCTCAAGTGATCCACCTGCCTCAGCCTCCCAAAGTGCCAGGATTACAGGCATGAGCCACTGTGCCTAGCCTTGAACCACACTTTTTTTTCTTTTTCCTTTTTTTTTTTTTTTTAGAGACTCTTTTTTTTTTTAGGTCACACTCTCTTGCCCAGGCTGGAGTGCAGTGGCATAATCCTAGCTCACTTCAGCCTCAACCTCCCAGGCTCAAGTGATCTTCCCTCTTCAGCTGTACCACTAGGCCCAGCTAATTTAAATTTTTTTTTGTAGAGATGGAGTCTCACTATGTTGGCCAGGCTGGTCTTGAACTCCTGGTCTCAAGCAGTCTTCTCACATTGGCCTCCGAAAGTGTTGGGCTTACAGGTGTGAGCCACGGTGACCACACTTCTTATTTGCATTCTGTTGTATATATGGAGTTCTTTTTTCTTCTGATTTTTAAGTTGAACATTCTATTTCTCTGTTTAGTAGTTAACTGTTAAATTTTTAACATGCATGCTTACTGAAGTCCACGATTGATATCTTTGCCTTCCTGAATAATTCAGGAACCTCAGAATACTTTTAAGTTGGAAGGGCCCCGCTTCGCCTTCTTGCGCAAAGCTGCTAGTGGTCGGCTCTGCCCACCGTAACAGGAGGAAGGAATTCTCGCAAGGCTGGAGTCCTCCGGGCGCGCCTGTCGGAGGCGGTTGGCAGAGGTGTCTCCCCAATCCGGTGATGGGGCTGAACGCTACTGGCTTCATGGCCACCCCTCCGCTGCCTCCATCTGGTTCAGCGTCTGTTTGCTGAGGAGGCGGACTAGGGGCGCAGAGTCTGTTCCCTTGGGTGCATAGGTCCGGGTTGATAGAGGCTTTGAGTCCTCATCACCACAGCTGACGGCTCCGAGGGACTAAGCAGGATATATCTTTAGAAATGAGTTGCACAATTGATAAGGCATTTGCTGATGCTAAAACTCTTGTTGAAAGATTAAGAGATCACAACGATGCAACAGAGTCTCTGATTGAGCAAACCACAGCTCTCAACAAGCGAGTAGAAGCCATGAAACAGTATCAGGAAGAAATTCAAGAACTTAATGAAGTCACAAGACATCCGCCATGGTCCACATTAGTTATGGGAATCCAGCAAGAAAGCAGACATATCAGAGAATTGCAACAAGAAACAAAAGAATTGCGTACATCCCTGGAAGAACATCAGTCAGCCTTGGAACTTATAATGAGCAAGTATAGACAACAATTTTTTTTTTTTTTTTTTGAGGCGGAGTCTCCCTCTGTTGCTCAGGCTGGAGTGCAGAGGCACAATCTCGGCTCACTGCAAGCTCTGCCTCTCAGGTTCACCGAGTAGCTGGGACTACAGGCCCCTGCCACCACGCCCAGCTAATTTTTGTATTTTTTAGTAGAGACGGGGTTTCACCTTGTTAGCCAGGATGGTCTCGATCTCCTGACCTCGTGAGCCACCGCGCCTGGCCGATAACAAATGTTTAGATTGCTACTGGCTAGCAAAAAAGATGATCCAGGAATAATAATGAAGTTAACAAGAGCAGCACTCCAAGGAACTGCAAGCACATGTTGACCAGATAACTGAAGTGGCAGCAGTAATGAAGAAAGCCATTGAAATTGACCAGCAACAGGGTTGCAAGGAACAAGAACTAGTATTTCAACTTGAACAAGAAAACAAAGGCTTGAGAGAGATCCTTCAAATAACTCGAGAATCATTTTTGAGCCTAAGGAAAGATGATGTGTCGGAAAGTACTTTGTCAGCATTAGTGACCAACAGTGACTTGAGTCTGAGGAAGAGCTGAAGAGCTTCTGAGTCTGTGAGCTGCTTACATGGCTCCAAATGGTCAAATAAGTGAATTCATGAATGAATGAACAGAAAATTCAATCCTTTATTTTTTTCTCTTTAAATATGTACAGTGCACTGGCTATGAGATAGCAACAAAGATGCATAGTTAATGGTCATAGACTTTATTCCAAAACATAATTGGAAAATAGAAACTGAGCCATTGCCAATTGGTAAAAAAATGAAAGGTTTTCACAGTGACTACTGAATACACCAAGACTACTGAATACACCAACTTTTGGCCATGCTGCTGACTTTCTGGGTGATTAATTAGGTAAACTTGAATATTCCCAATAAATGTTTGAGATTCATAAAATTATACCAATTTAAAAATACAAAGTTTTGCCACTGTTTTGTGAACGGAAGATTTGCATGCTATCCTTCATCCTTATTTGGTGTCAAAGTTAATACGAAGTTTATGTACCATGAGACTTCAGCTTTAGTGATTGCCTACTTTTACATTTAAATTTTTGTGAAAGAAAACTCAGTTTTAAAGCCTATAAGAATGTGTTATATGTACCATAAACAAAAGTGATAATTTAATTTTAGCAATTTACCATAACTGATACTTAGCTAACAATTCTCCATAACTTAGTTTAAGTATAAGAAATTCCATTTCAGGAATGAAAAAGAAGGAATACTACCTTTTTTTTTTTTTTTTCCTGAGGCGGAGTCTCGCTCTGTCGCCCAGGTTGGAGTGCAGTGGCCGGATCTCAGCTCACTGCAAGCTCCGCCTCCCGGGTTTATGCCATTCTCCTGCCTCAGCCTCCCGAGTAGCTGGGACTATAGGCGCCCGCCACCTCGCCCGGCTAGTTTTTTGTGTTTTTTTGGTAGAGACGGGGTTTCACCATGTTAGTCAGGATGTTCTCGATCTCCTGACCTCATGATCCGCCCGTCTCGGCCTCCCAAAGTGCTGGGATTACAGGCTTGGGCCACTGCGCCTGGCCAGGAATACTATTTTCTAAGAAAAAAAATCTTATAGTAGACATATTTAGTAGGTTGAACTGCTTTGAAAGTTTTGGTTTGAAGTCAATAATGAAGATGAGATTTGTTTTTCTCCTCTCTGGCTGATTTTTAAGGATATTATGTAGTTCATTTAATTAACAGTT